TCTCCCACTAGGTTCCTCCCACAACACATGGGAATTATGGGAGCTATAATTCAAGATGAGATTTGGATGGGGACACAGCCAAACCATATGAGTCATGTTTAAAAACTTAAAGAGATAAGGGAGTTTCTATTACTAGTAGTGATGGTCTAGAACAGGGGATTAGCAAACTACCACCTGTAGGCCAAATTTCGCTCATGATCTATGTTTGCATGACCTGTGAACTAACACTAGTTTTTATATTTTTTAATTATTGAAAAAAAATTAAGAGTATTTAGTAGCACACAAAAATCATATAAAATGCAATGTGTTCTAGCTCTGAGAAGATTAAATAGATACCCTTTTCCCTATTTCTCCCACTATGTAAGACTAATAATTTGGGATATTACATATAAAATCAAACATAGGAGGACTCTGATTATTATTTAACCCAGAAATACCAATAGGCACAGACAAATAAAGCCCCTTTGATTTCTTTAGCCAAAGGACCAGGAGAGGGGCATCTTACCTGGACAGGAGACTTTTGGGGTAATAATCTCTTTACTCCTCCTAAAGATCACAGAAAAAACAAAAACAAAAACAAAAAAAACCTGTGGTTTCACCGCCCTTAATGCCAACAATGGTGGAATAAGGGACCTAGACATTGAGAGGCTGCAACAAGGCAGTCCAAAATCTGCTCCCCACCTCCCTGCAGTTTTGTCAGAGGACTGAAAGTAGGAGCCAGGAACTTCATCCTTGCCGACCATTATGAGCAACCCTCTTACCCCATAACGTCTGTGGAGATTACATGGTGAGCCTAAACTTCTAACCAGCCCAGCACCTTTTTCCTACTGGATGATGCCAGAGGAAGCCCTTAGTAAAGAGTCAGGATTTTCACCTTTGCCCAGTGGTAATGAAGCAGCTCCCACTGAGGAAACCACATAAAGAGCCAGAACACCCATCCCCTCCCAGTAATAAAGAGAAGGCCCCTACCTCCCACCCCCGCTACCAATGGAGGCCATGTGAAGAATCTGGACTTTAACCTTTATTTGATACTTAAGTGGTGGTGTCATCCATTGCCCTGCCAAAGTGATGTCAGAGAAAGCCAGTTTAAAAAGGTTTAACTATTAATACATACAATCACCAACATGAATCTTCAAAGCATTATGCTGAATGATGCCTGATGTTTGATTCTTGCATACTAAGGTGTTCTGTAGCAAGGTCTTTAAACAATGCTCATAGCATAGATAACCCTTCAAAAGTAACAAAGCATGTAGCATAGCTAATTCCCTCATTAAGATGATTATCTAGAGTCTAGGTCATGAGTTTTGCAAGAAAGTCTGAGACAAGATCAGCTGTACATATTTTATCCTAAAAGCTTACATATTTTCTGGAGGGCAGGTGTGGGGATCCACTGTAACCAAATCATAATTTCTGTTTGTGAGTCCCTATTAAATATCTCTTTCTGAGAAACTGGATTTGTCAGCGTTCCTTTGGCCTCTCAGCTCCATCAGCCTTTGGGGGTAGGATTGCATATACATGCTCATCCAGGAACAACAGTGAGATTATTTCCTCTCCTTACTCCTTACCCACCCTCCAATTTTAAAGCCCCTGAAAACATCAGCTCTTAGTTAGGAGAAAAGCTGGAGCAAGAAAGCAACAAGAAATCAACGTGGTTTGCCTATAGTTAGGTAGTTAGAGGAAGCTTTAATTGAATGTGTGTCTGGAGTTTTGATAATAGGTAGTATCAGACTTTTTATTACCTGAAAATGATCAGATAAGCTAAATTAATAATAATTTAATTTAGAGGAGAAAAATGCATACACAGGAAATGTGTTGAGACACCAAAATGTTTCCTTCAATTCGTTCCCTGTAAAGTCCAGCTTGTTATATGAACTAATGAAAACAAAGAAGAGGTTTTGAGTGCAAGATGAATCCAGGCTGTACTCCTAGTGAATTGGCAAAAAAGTTGACAATGAGAAGATATCCAAGATGTTTCAGAGTAGATGACATGAGAGATAGACATTTGGGAGTTAAAAGCATTATAGGCTGGTCAAGGTTATGATCATAGATAAAATGCTTTAGACAGAGAAATATAGTCTATTCAACAGGGCACAGGCAGGCAACTTAACCATTAATCCTACTAAGAGGCATGCACTATGCTAGGAAGTTTAAATATGTCACCTCACATATGTATCAAAACAGCTCTACAAAGTAGGTCTTACACCCACTTTGCCAATGAGGAAACCAGGCTCCAATGAGGTATGTAACTAACTGAATGGTCACACAGTAAAGAAATGCTGGTGCCACATTTGAACCTAGGTCATCTGACTCAAAAGCTATTAATCATTAGCTACTCCATGAAATGTCATTGTTCATTCCCAATTTTTGCAGTTCAAAATTAACCCAAATACTCCTATTCTAGATATTTCTAATATCAACTTGAAGAAGAATGGAAAACTAGATATTGATGATAGTTTAAAAGTTGGGGATGGCCAAGAGATTAGGTGTGTATGGGAATCAGATGTAAAAACATTATGGAAATAAATAGAAGATAGCTTTATCTCCTTCAGTTTTTCCAGAGGAATCTTGAACTCTCCAACCACTTTTCTTTCTTTCTTCCCTTTTACTATCTCCTGTATTTCCCATACTCATTTTTCCTGCTCAGCTTTTGGTTCTTGGGATATTTCCTACATGATTTGTCACATCTTCTTTTGAACCTATCCAAACGCTATGGGTCTTTGAGGTTCAATATAAATTCCACCTCTTCTTGGAAACTTTCTTTGCCAACTCCAGTCCTGGTATTCTTTTCCACCTATAAGCAAACACCATAATATTTAGCAACATACTGGTGTTTTCTTTGACTCCTCAGAAACAGTCACCAGGTTGATATGCTCTTCACTCCTAACCTTGCTGACCAGAGCTAAAAGGGAGCTGAAGTTCTGTCTTTTCTGCTCCTCTGCTGCTTCTTGGCATTGGGCCTCTCTTATTTCTAGGTGACCAGTTTACTTTGCAATTGCCCTTTCTCCTAACCTGTACCTATTGCTGCCCTCTCTGTGGATAACATGCTTCAAGTTACCTGTATCTTATTTTTAACCCACCCTACATCCCGTATATCTGATTTAATCAACATTAAGGTGAGATGCACTGCTAGTCTTTTCTTAGCGCTCTTCCCTGAAAGTTCTTTAACCCTTAGACATTTCTAAAAGTTGGATATTCGTGCTGGTGTATCAGGCAGCAGGTTTTAAACCTACATCACCTTGACAAAAAGCCAGCCTTCAAAAGGGGAGGAAGAAAGGAAAGTGTGGAGGCATTACCTCTCACATTTGAGATGCCTCCTACTACTTCGCTTCCCTTCCCATAGACAATTATCTCCTTCCATTTTCCCTGGGAGCTTAAATTCCACTCTAGTATTCCCTCCAACTTTGATAAAGAGGAAACCCCTGTCACAATATACAGGAGGATCTTGATCCTGGACAACGAATCTAAAAGTCTTTAGAAGGACTTCAGGGCAGTTTCATACTCCACCAACTTCCTATTTCGTTTAGCACATTTTTGTTGAATATATACAACCTACTAAATATTGGAGATACGAATGGAGACAAAAAATAATCCCTGAGATTAAGTAAGGAGTTTATGGTGATGGTGGGGTCAGGCAGTAAGAAGTTACAATAAAGTGGGATAAGTCTAAGTTTAGAGGATGACAAGGTGCTAGAGAAATACGTAGAGAGGACACCTAGCTGTCTTGAGGATGTTAGATAAAGTATCTTAGGGGAAGCAATGGCTTCATGAAGCCAAAGTTCGATGAGTTAGCTAGGAAAAAGTAGTTGAGGAAAAAGATATGTGCAAATGCTCAGAAAGAAAATGGCATATCCTGGGATCTGCAAGTGTACTGTGGCCTGAATGGAAAACAGTGTGAGTGAGATATAGTGAAAACAAGCTGAAGAAAGATTAGATCTAAATGGGATAAAGGAATGTATTGCCCCCTCCTAGAAATGAATGCTTTGTTTGGTTGCTATACCAGTAACAAGAATTAGAAGCATTTATTAAACTGCTTACCATTTAACTTGGTAAATCAAAGAACAACAATTTTTATAGGTATCAGTAAATATCTGTAATTAGATACATGGTGGGCTTTCCTGTTCATATACAATGGTTATTCTCAGTGTTTAAATAATTAAAGGTAATTACCAGTGTTAGAGTGAGTCATTTGAGAAATAATACCTTACCATTACAAAAAAACTCCTAGGGAAAGTTATATGAGACAGCAAAGATAAATAGTAAATAGTAAAATAATATGAATAGTAAATAATATAGTAAGAACAGTTCAAAATAATTTAGCAATTTTTTTGACCACCACACAAAAAAAATTACAGTAAAACTGAGACTGGGAATATTTCATTCAACCCTCACACATGCTGCTATTGATTGGAAATGTAAAAAATATGCATTTGTCTTGACAAAATGGAAAGCAACGGTACGCTATTACTGGAAACTTTAGCTGAGGTCAAAGTTGTAAATGAAAGGGATAACTTCTCAGAGAACAATTCAGTGTAGTATTGTTTTGCCTTGTCATGAAGAATTTTTGTGCTTCCACAAACAAAAAATATTGGACTATTAGGTGAACGTGGCAATCAAGTGGTTTTCAGAAGACTCTGTTTCTTCTTCTACAAAAATGACAGAAGTGGGGTCAGGATGTTCCCAAAGGCTCCTTCTACCAATAAGGGCATAATTTCTCGCAGAAACAAATAATGAGAACTTCATAACAATTCATTTATTTTATGAATGCTTTGTCCCTTGAGAACACTAGTCTATCTTTAGAGAAGGAATTTATCAAACTTCTTTGGGCAACCCATCTTCTTTACTTTTTTTTTTTATTTTTTGGTCTTCTCTTTGTCAAACGTTCATGGAACAACTACATTCAGGTGTAGTAATCGTAATGCAAAGCTCTGAAAACGACGAGAGACCTCGTAGCTTCCGAAACGCAGCTGGTAGCAGGTACTCTAGAACACTAAGTGTGAGCTCCCGAGCACCCGTAGGTCGGATTCTTTGGATGAAGCACCGGAAGTGACCGCCTCGCGGCTGCTTCCTCTCCTGAAATCCAAAGTCCCGCTGCTCCGCCGCGATATTGAGTAAAACACTTGGAGTCCGACAGCATGGAGGCAGCGCGCCCTCCCCCAACTGAAGGGAAGTTCGTGGTGGTCGGCGGCGGCATCGCGGGCGTCACTTGTGCGGAGCAGGTAGGGCGGTGCTCAGGCGGCTCCACCTCTTTCCCGGACCCCAAAGGCCGTAGCGCTGGAGGCCTTCCTCCCGCCCCCTCCCTTTTTCTTCTTCCGGGTTCCTCTTTTGCTGTGCCCTTTTCTGCACCTCTTGCTCCCAGATTTTAGAAACTGTTTGATGGTTCTCAGATGATGTTCTTAGTACCGCGCTAGTTTTCTCTCAGGCTCAGAGAGAAGTGAGAATCAAATTATAGCCGAGAAACCAAAGCTGGCTGATCCGTGCTCTGATCCTAAAAATGCCAGAGCAGAGAAGAGGATTTTGCATTTAGACAGCAAATAGCAAATTCAGCCCCCTTTCTTCCTTTCTTTCTTTCTTTCTCTTTCTTTCTCTTTCTCTCTCTCTCTTTCTTTCTTTCTTTTTCTTTCTTTCTTTTTCTTTCTTTCTTTCTTTCTTTTTCTTTCTCTTTCTTTCTTTTCTTTCCTTCCCTCCTTCCTTCCTTCCTTCTTTTTCTTTTCTTTTCTTTTCTTTTCTTTTCTTTTCTTTTCTTTTCTTTTTTTTTTTTTTTTTTTTTTTTGAGATGGAATCTCGCGCTAGAATGCAGTGGTTTGATCTTGGCTTAATGCAACCTCCACCTCCTGGGTCCAAGCGATTCTCTTGCCTCACCCTCCCGAGTAGCTGGGATTACAGGCGCCGGCCACCACGCCCGGCTGATTTTTGTGTTTTTAGCAGAGACGGGGTTTCACCATGTTGGCCAGGCTGGTCTGGAACTCCTGGGCTCAAGTAATCCGCCCGCCACCGCCTGGGATTGCAGGCCTGAGGCACCGCCCGCCGCCTTCAGCCCCTTTAGTTTCTAATAGTTGCCAAGTTTTCAGTGCATCTTAACTAATTAATAAAGAATCCCATAGATAAGTTTTCTATACTTTGAACTCCCAAGATAGAAGATACTTTAGTAATGTTTTGTAAAACAATCAGCAAGGAATTAAATGCATATAGGGATTGCTTTTCTGATTATACTGAATAGCCGGACCATATATATTCATATACATGTGTGTATTTCAAAAAGTTTTAGATTATTTTGTTGATGTAAACTAAAGGTGAGCAATCACTGAAGTCTTAAGAAATAGTGCAAGAAATTCAAGTGTTTTCAACATTGGATGCGAATTTTCTGTTTACTCACTAAGTAAGCACACTCATGATCCAGGCACCATATTAAGTGCTGAGTGTTAAACTATGAACACCATGAAATACCATACGAGGCACTCACAGCCTAGTGGAAGAGACAGTATTGTATGTCTATGCTAGAAACATGATTGGTTATCTTAGGGGTGCCTGTGGAGTTAGGCAGGGAGTGAATTAGAGAAGAGGTATTTTTTTTTTTAATCAAAGTTATTTTTAAAATCTCGTTATCAAAGAATAAAAGTTCACCAAGTATTCAAGAAAAGAAAGACATTCCAAAGGGAGGCTAACAATGTAATCTTCAGTGGAAAAGCGTGGATTATGAGAGAGCAATAAATCTTAAAGCATAGATCATAAGGAGTCTTATAAATCATGCTAAGAACTCAACAAGAGTTTACAAGTAGTGAAATGTTTTTGAGCAGCAGAGTAACTTGATCATATAAAAAGGTTTGAAAGATGGTTACAGTGTATTTGTGGCAGAGGCAGTTGGTTTGTACATCAAACTGGAGAGCCAATTTGTAGGTGATTTCAGTAGTATAAAGAAGTTTTGAGAACCTCACCTAGCAATGGAAACAGAAAGCAGGGAGATAAATTGCAGAATATACACAGGAAAGAAAGATGGAGAGAGTAATAATATTGTCAAATAATATAGAAAGTTCAAATAAAATGAGTAACAAGAATCGCATGGGTGTTGGGCACAATAGCTCATACTTGTAATCCCAGAACTTTGGGAGGCCAGGGTGAGAGGATTGCATGAGGCCAGGAGTTCAAAGCTAGACTGAGCAACACAGCAAGATCCCATCTCCATAAAAATAATTAAAGAAAATAAATAATCCCTTGGATTTTAAGGATCCATAGTTCCCTCAAACATGCTGTATCAGTGGTGTAGTAGGAATAGAAGCCAGATTATTGAGGATGGTGGTGTCGAAGAACCAGACTTTGAGATAAGAAAATGCTTTCAGGTACAGAGTGAAGACAGAGGTTGTAGCTAGAGAAAAAATAATGAAATATTAACCTATAAAGTTATACGTCTAAATTTTGTTGAACTTATTATTAAAATGCCTTTATCATGCCACAATATGTACTGACTGGAAGAGGCAGAATAGGAGTGCCAAAGCACTTGGGGAAAGTCAGACCAAGATTCTAAGTGTTTAAGGGTTTGCTTTAATGTCATTCCATTGAAGACAAAGGAAATACTATTTTAAGATAAATAGAAGTTGGCTTAACTGTTAATGAGGAAGATAGTTTATTCTTATCCTCTGTATTATAACTCTAAATTGGTATACAAAATAGTTGAATAAATAAAGGATATTTCCTTATATCACTTTTCTTGTTCAGGAGATCTTTGTTAGTGGTTAGTGTAAATGTAGTATTTTATCAATATCAGAGTTTAACATTATTCACCATTGCCCCATAGATAAGGATAATGGAGACTGCGATGAGGAACAATGGGTTTTTAATTTTCTAGATTAATTACTGTATTAAAATTGCATTATCCTCACCCCCAAACCATGTATACTAATACTTAAAGTAATTTGTCCTAATGTTTTCTTTCTTTTTAAAAATAAGTTGGCTACGCACTTTCCATCAGAAGATATTCTCTTGGTAACAGCTTCTCCTGTTATTAAAGCAGTTACAAATTTCAAGCAGGTAAGAACCTTTGTATAACTTCTTACTATTAATTTGAAAAAATTGCAATAGCTTGCATAGTAGTTAGGGTAATTGTGTATTTTTTTTAAATGCCAAGTAAAACTATATGCTGTTCATCATGATGTTTTGATATATGTATACATTGTGGAATGGCTAAATCAAGCTATTTAATTTATGCATTATTTCACATATTTATAATTTGTTTGTGATAAGAACACTTAAAATCTTTTCTCCTAGCAACTTGCAAACACAATATATTGTCATTAACTCCAGCCACCATGAGTGTGAGGAGAGGTGCCATACAAATGTAAACAACCAAATCTCACAAGAACTCACCATCTTGAGGACAGCCATCAAGGCCATGAGGGATTTGCTCCCATGATTTTACCACCTCCCGCCTCCAACACTGGGGATTACATTTCAACGTGAGATTTGGCAGGGACAGAAATTCAAATCATGTCATTATGTCATTTTGTTCTGGCCTATAAGGTTTCTCCTGAGAAATCTGCTGTTAGCCTTTTGGAATCTCCCTTATTGTGATTTGCTTTTTTTCCTCTTTCTGCTTTAATGATCCTCTTCTTGTTTTTGATTTTTGATAGTTTAATTATAATATGTCTTAGTGCCTTATTTGGATTGAATCTGATTAGAGACTTTTGACCTTTTGGTTCCTGGATATTTATGCCTTTCTCCGGATTTGGAAAGTTTTCTATTGTTATTTCTTTAAATACACTTTCTACTCCTTTGTCTTCCTCTTCTCCTTCTATAACTCCTATAACTCAAAGATTTGCTCCTTTGATGCCATCCTTTAAATTCCGTATTTCTACATTCTTTTTCATTCTTTTTTCTTCTTCCCTTCTGACTGTATATTTTCAAATAATCTTTCTTGAGATTCACAGATTTTTTTCTTCTGTGTGATCAGTTCTCTTATTGACATAGTCTGTTGCATTTTTTTGTTTCATTCATTGCATTTTTGTGTTTTTTTAAAATAACTTCTCTTTTTAAATTTTTTGTTTCAGTTGCTTATTGTTTTCCTGATTAATGGAATTGTTTATAACTTCTTAAAGTTCCTTCACCTTCTTTAAACAATTATTTTGAATTCTTTGTCAGGCAGTTCTGACATTTCTTTTTGTTCTTTTGGTGGTGTGTCTTCTTGGTTTATCATTTGTCTTTTTGCCATATGTTGATGTTTGCACATTTGATGACACACTCGCTGTTTTCAGAAGTATGGGCTAGTTTTGCTGTGGAAAGACCTTTCCCTATGGGGAGGGCTGCTTGCTGGATGAGATGCAGAAGTTCTGGCACCAGTGAGGGTGCCCACTTTATAGTCTGTGCAGCTCTGTCAGCTGAGTTAATCATTATTGAAGATTGCAGGGATCCTCAGCATCCAACTCTGGATATCTGCAGTGGTAATGGGGGTTGTTGGGTTTTCAATGTCTATGGCTGCTAAGAGCCTCCCAATCTTTTTTTCTCCCACAAAGGAAGTTGTGGCTTAGGGGATCCCTATTGGCACTGGGTCTGCCTTCTGGGTTCAGTTACAGTGGCGGCAGCACTAGTGTCTGATAAGTGGTGCCTAAGGAGCAGTGATAGAGCTGAGGCCCAAAATACAGGCACACATAGAAGAACTAAAGCTCTGGGATCTGGGACAGTAATGACATTGATGCCTAGGGTACAGGCACCATACTGCTGTATTGATAAGAGAATGTGAGATGAGAATGCTTGGGAAGCAGCCAGGGAAACCAAGAATGGGAATACAGGTATGCTCAGAGTTATAGCAGTTTCAGTGTCAGGGCAGGGCCTAGCTTTCAGTGGCAGCTGAGCCAGTAACTGGATTGCAGACATGTGCAGTGAGGCTTGGTTGTAGGGCCCAAAGTGCAAACTAGCTTACAATGGTGATGGCTCTGGTGTCTGAGATATAGGTGGGCCCAGTGCAGGCCATAGAACCTGGGTCTGAGGTATGGGCATTCTCAGAATGACCATGACTCTAGGGTTGGGGCACTCATGGGTTTGAGAGATGAAGTGACTCCTTTTCCAAAGCATCTTGACATTGACCACTTCTTTGTAGAGACAGGATGTGCTGCCATGTCTCCCTCTCTGGGGTTCCATGTCAAGAATGGTTGTTGGTTCACTCACAGAAGCAAGAGATGCCAGTTTTCTTTGCAGTGCAGGCCACCGTGGACCACAGCGGTCCCCACCATGTGGCTGATACTGATAGCCTTTCTTCGTTCCTAGCCATCTCCTGGTTTCTCAAGCATGCCAAGGTCATTATTGATTCTTTTTATGTGGGTAGTCCTAATTTTTTTGCTCTACTATGTTGCTACAGATTGCTTAATGGGCCTTTGAGCCCTCTTTGGGCCACTTTGGCTTGTAAATAGTTGTCTATACTTGGTTT